CGTCCTGAGCCGCAGTCGCGCCCTCTTGCTGCCCGGCGGAGGCGAGCGCGGGGGAGAGCCGCCGCGGACGCCGTCAGGGCAGCAGCATGGCCGTGGGCTCCGTCAAGATGCAGCCGCCGTGCGAGAGCCCGGGGCTGGCCTCGGCGGCCCCGGCCGACGGCCCGGGCGCCCGGGAGCCCGAGCGCGAGCCGCCCGCCGCGTCTCTGCGGCCGCGCCTGCGGGACCTGCCCGCGCTGCTGCGGAGCGGGCTCACGCTGCGGAGGAAGCGGAGCGCCGCCGGGGCCCGGGTGAGTGGCCCTCGGCCGCCCTGCGGGCCCGCGACGCCGCGCCCGGGACGTTGGGGAGGTGGCGGGAGCGCGCCGGAGAGGGGCCGGGGACGGCGGGTGGGGGCGCCCCTCCCCCAGAAGCACCTGACCGAACCCCGGCACCCGGACGTCGGCGGGAGCAGGGCTGCCTGCGGCTTTCTGGGGCAGGCTGCAGGTGTCGGCGAGTAAGTCCAGCGGCCCCGTCCCACTGCAAGTCGCGGGCCCCACCGGGCCCGTTTGCAGGTGGCCTGCGGCGTGCATGCAGGGTCTGGGCATCGGGACTGCCTTGGCAGCCGACCGCTGCTGAAGGGGAGACTTAGGAGTTGGAAGAGCCTGGGGGTGCTTCCAGCTCCCGAGTTCTGGCGCCAACCGCACTCAGCACGCCGGGACGCCCCCTAGAGCGGGATAGTGTAGGACCCCGGGGAATCTCGAATGTCGACTTTCTGATGGTGTGCTCAGATAGGACTTCCTGGTGAAGGAGCATTCCTTGTGTGCTAACTGCATCTCACGACCTGAGCAGGCCAGGCGTGTTTTCTGTGTGAAAAAGAGGGCCTTGTCGTCCTGGGATACCTAGAGCATCCGGATGCAGCAGTTCGTCTTCGAGACAACTCTAGGAAGAGCTTGGGGACACATTGGCACATGGTACTCATTAAGAAAAAGAAATCTTGCTCACTACGTAGCCTGTGCTGAGAAACCGCAGCAATGTCGAGGTTTTGAGTACTAGTCTTGGTTAGCAGCGTTGAAGAGAGAAGGTAGTTGGAGACTGTCAGGACTTTGGTTTTTGGAGACGTAAGGGCTAGGGAAATGTTTGTTTTGTGTGTCTTCCTCTGGGTGGGAAAGGATCTGACCTGGGCATTTTCTTCTTTGGGTGGCCTTAGAGGGTTGTTTTTAGGATTCCCTTGTGCAGTTAGATCATTTTTAAGTGAGCCACCAGCGAAGTCTCAGAGTTGCCCACACAGTAATCTTCTGACAAAGAAAGCCAAGGAGTCTGTCCTCAAGATACAGTGGCTAAATAAACACAAGCTCCAGAGTCAGAGGCTCTGTGAGAATCTCCGGGAAAGTAGGCCACGGTGTGTTCTCCTATCCTTGACAGTTCCGTTTCCAGGCTCAGGATGCTGACGACTAAGGGCAGCCGGGCGGTCTGCGGCAGGAATTGCCCAGGGTTCTGCCTACATCCGTCTGCAGCGTCCTTCCACGCAGGCTCCAGCTCCTCCAGGCCTGGCATGCCTGTCAGGGTGCACACTGACCCTTACCTTCCACCTAGTCTGCTGTGTGGGCCCTTCAGATAATCACTCTCTTTGACTATGGTACTTTGTATTTGTTCTCTGAATGTCTGTCTTTCCCTGGGAGAAGATTGACTGTCAAGTTTTTAAGTGTTGGAAGCCCACGCTTCACAATTTCATTCTCCTCCTGCTTTGGGGGAGACTTTTAGCTTGCTGTCTGTTCCTGTGATGAAACACCCTAACCCAGAGCAACTTGGGGAAGAAGGGTTGTTTCATCTTGTAGCTTATTCCCCATCCAAAGGCAGGTCAGGGGAGGAGCCCAGGCGAGCATCCGGAGACAGTGTGAAGCAGAGGTCATGGAGGAGGGCTGCTCAGTGGCTTGCTCAGCCTGCCCAGGGTGTCACTGCTGATGTCCTCCCATGTCAATAAGCAAATCGAGAAAATGTCTTACACACTTGCTGATAGGCCACCTGACTGCAGTGTTTTCTCAATTGAAAGTCCTCTTCCCAGATAGCTTGTGTCACATTGGATAACAACTTCTGTTGTGATTTTTGGAGCTCTCATCATCAGAGGGATAGGGAGGAGTTTGAAAGAAGGGAAAACAAAGTGAAATCATGTGCCTCTGTGTCAGGCAGCTCAAACGACTGTAACAAAATGCTCTAGGCTGGGTGACCTGAAGAGGTGTTTATGTTCTCACAGTTCTGAAAGCCAGCAAATCCAAGCCCAGTGTTCGGGCTGATTTTGCTTCTGTACAGGGTTCTGTCTGTCCTGCAGTTGGCCATTTTCTTTTACCTATTCCTGTGGCCTTTCTTCAGCAGGGTCAAAGGAAGGACAATCTTGTCCTCTTTTTATAAAGCCACTAATCTTATCATGAGGGCCCCATCCTCACAACCAAATATAATCTAAATACTGCCAAAGTCTCCGTCACAGTATCTTTTTTCCAAATTTCCACAGACCACAGCAGTAAGGGTTTGGGCTTCAGCATAAGAATCACATGGATGACAGACAATCCGTAAGAAGAGGGGATTAGAGAGGAGGAGACAAATGGTAAAATAGACCCCAGGCTGTTGGTGGGGATGGACATGTGAGATTAACTGGGTGGCCCTCTTGGTTGGGACATGGATGTGAGTGTGAAGGCGTCTTGAGAACTGTGAAGCCACCCGTCCTGGTCGGAGCTGAGTGGTGACCGTGATTAGGCATTCACGTGGGACAAAGCAGCCCCACTCATGCTGAGATCTGATTTAGCAGTGTGGTGCTGTCTTATTCTCCCACAGACCCGGACGGTCTGCCCCTGCCTGGCTCTCTGTGGACTGTGTTTCACCCACGCATACTGCAGACTCTTACTGGGACGAAGCACTCTGTTGCACTCTGTCGTTTGGCTGGTTCAGCACGGTTCCTCCGCTCCCTAGTTCCTCCACTCAGTTGTTTCTGATAGAGAGTTCACCCAGCGTACTAGGAAGACTGCACCTCCCTTGGGCCAGCAGAGCAAAGGCTAAGTTTGGGTTGTGGGAAGACTGTCTCTGCATTTCAGTGTGGATACATTTTCAAAGATCCATGGCAGCACAGAGTCCCAGCAAACCATTTCATCAAGCTGTTAAACAGGAGTCGATGACAAACCCCCAAACCCCAGCGCTAGCAACAGTGTTGCCAGCTTGCTTTATTTGTGGTGGGGTGGGGTCTGGCGTCATTTAAGGCAAACCTTCGAGTCAGCTGGCAGAAGCTGCAGCGCACATCTCTGATGTAAGGATGCTCCAGCCACCCCCACCCTCCTTTGAGCCAGCATGGCGGCTTATGCCTGCCTGTCCAGAGCACTAACCTGTCAAGACTGCAAGCTTTGGCTGTAGAGTGAGCTCCAAGCTCCTGCTTAAAACAAAACAAGTCAAACAAACAAGCAAGCAAAAACAAACAAAGAAAACAACAAGAACAAGAAACTTAGGACTTTTTCCTTCCTAAGAACATTAATATTTCTCGGTACAATCGCTACATTCAAACCATTTCAAAGATGCCCTCCTTGTTATGAGTATCAGAACCAGGAACTAAATGGTGCCACATGTTGATTTGCTGTTAAGGCTTTAATTCTATTTTATTTTATAACAGACCCTACTTTAAAAAATATATATGGTATTGATTCGCAAGACAGGTTGGACCATTAGTCCAGGACTCTGTCCCACTTTCTGGACTGATTGTCTGGGTGCCCGTTAACTTGTTCCTCCACCCTGTGACCTGGCAATCCCTTATGAAAGCTTGCTACCCTTTCTGGGTCGTGCTCTGCCAAGTCTCTTGTGTCACTTCATGATGCCGTCATGTCAGAATGCCTTCTTGAGAAATGCAGATTTGCTGGTGGCATCGGATGGTATCTCTTTTCCCTCTGCCTTTCCCCTAATGACTTTAGTTTCACCGTGCCGGAAGCCGCCGTCATCAGGGACTGCAAACGTGGGCAGTCTAAACACCATTCCTGTCACACTATTCGGAACAGGGTCTGTAAGGAAGATGAATTATTTGGGTTTTCTGATATTCAGGCTACAGAGCAAAGAGGGGGAGATGCTGTTTTCCCATTTATAATTTTTTATAGTAACGTTTTAATGTCTTAACAACCTTCACCAATGACCAGAGCTGTTTTTTTTTTTTTCCTTAAGTGTCATTAAGAATTAATGCATTAATACATTCAGTCTGTTGTGGCAAATTCTCTTTTTGACAATGTGTCCTTTTCTCCTACATACTTTGCACATGGTTTCAGTAGACTTTTTCTTTCTTATCATGTCCATTTTCTCCTTCACACTTGAACCTAGACATTTGTCCAAGGAACACTTATATTTTTAAAAAAAATATTATTAAGAATGATTCATTTCTTCTATGTTTTGCTTCTCTTAGTGTCTGTCCTTATTTTCCTTAGTCTTAGCCTTCCGCCTTAGTTTTAAAAATTCTTTAAAAATATTTCTAATCAGGCGTCTCCAAGATTGCTGTAGGACAGGTGTTGATGCTCACTGCATCTTTCCATATGTGTTGAAGGTTGGTGCAGACCAGGGCCTGATGCTCACTGCATCTTTCTCTGTGTTCTGAA